GGGTTTAGGGTTGCCAGAAAATAGAAAGGAAAGGCAAGTTTGCAAGATTTGATGCGAAATCACCCATTCGGAGACATTTGCATACAAAACTGGCAATATGTCATAGATGGAGCTAGAACATTCTGGAACGAATTCTTACCGATTTGCCACAGAGTGTTCTCGAAGGAAGGGCAAAAGCTATATAAACCCTGCCTGTACGCGAGTAGCAGTGTATCGTGAGTTTTATCGTGAAGAGTATCTTGACTGTGTTGAGCTCCGACAGCGATTGACCGTGTCGAGAGCTAGTGTTTTGCCGTGAAGCTGTCTTCCCCGTTCCTGATAGCCTGAAGGCGGTGTTGCTGATTGTTTCAGCGTGTTTGTCGTAGTTTTTCGGAGGCTTCAAACGTCATTTTGAAACTATCCTGAGTAATACTGGCTAAATAAATTGCGTTTTGATCTTTCGCCAAATGTTGTCGTCAATCACTCCAAATCCACGAACCCGTAAATACGCAACAATATATTATGATTAAAATGTCTTTCTTAACCACAAATACATATAACAGAAAGACATTTCAGGGTAAGGACTGATACCCACTTTAAGAAACGAAGAATGTGAATTACTGCATGTTTGTTCTTTATGATCAGAGACAGAAAGCAAAAGATTTGTTTGAACGAGATATTTAATGAAAAACTGTGCTATCTAAACTGTGTCAGAGTATTTTATCGTCGCATTATACCAGCGGTTCTTAAAAATGTGATGATATGATGTGCATGTAGCGCGATCACTAACGTATATGATATTTTTATTACATTTTTAAAAATTAAACTAAATAACGATTAGGTTTTAGTTTAAAAAATTTATCGCTGATTCCTGATTATTACCTTCAGGACATCGTTCATCACAGTTTGAGAACTACTGCAGTATATTATTGCAGTAATTATATGAGCTGAAGTTTCGCATATTTTCCATATTCCTCCGGATACCGCATAATACCTTGGATGAAAATGACTGAAATTTTTTAATGTTACAGAAAAATTAATTGCTTAAGGTTAAATTCATTACCTGTAAGCTTCCAATTAGATCTTTAATGCATAAATCTTTTGCAGAAATATGACTGAGCGTGATATCTGTTAGTAATAAAGAAAGTAGTAAGAAAAGGACACTTTTCTAATTCAGAATCGAATTAAAAGAAAATAATGTTAAAAAAGAGATATTTAGAGACAAGGGCTTAAAATCATTCTACCAGATGATTGTAAAATACTGTAGTATCATCCGCTTATTAAAATCATTGGTTTATAAATTCAGCTCTTTATCACGTTTAATTTTCAGATCTCTAAATACAAACTAATCAATAGAAAGCCCTTTTTTTTATTAAAGTCATCTCTTTCACTTACGAAACTTATAGATTCTTACTTTCTTTGGCAACATTAACTAATGAGAAAGGCTACTGAGGAATAATCCTCTTGTCTCTCTGCTGGGACATATGCCTGTTTACCTTCGTTAAACGCCAGGCGTCCCCGTCCTCCGTCACTTGTCACCTGTCTTTCTCTGTAGACAGACAAAGTCAGAAGAAAGGTGAAGAAAGGTTCTAAAATTATTATTTTAGGATTAATTATTTAGTTTTTACCTATTATTTTACTTGAAACGTTTGAAACTGTGAAGGGTACTAACGGACAAAGAAAATTATCGTTATGCCTAAAACGACGACTTTCGTGTTAAAAAAAAAAGTTTAAAAAAAAAATATTTTCCTTTAAACAGAATTTAAAACACAAAGGCGGAATTAAATAGAACAATCAAAAGTAAATCAAATGTTGAAGGGTAGTCAAAGACAACACATTTAATTACTATTGTGGAAGCTAGTTCACTACTCTACCGGAGCGTCAAAACTAAAATTTCGGCAGCGAGAAAAAGCAAAGCCAAATAATTGAAACTATCAGAGCTGGCAGAAAACTAACCTGTATGCGATGCCAGAAACACGCTATGTCTTTAAATCCTCAGTTTAAATACTCATTTGCATTCTGGTGCGGAATACGAAAAGGAGAATTCACAGAAAAGGCTGAAATTATAAATAACTACTTAATCAACAAACGTATATAAAGATTTTCAATATGTACGTGTGAATTGTCATGTGGTGAACTCAGCCACTTAATGAACTCAAATATGCTTGGAACAAAAGTTATTTTATTACGTGGCGGGCACTGTATCTGTGTTTTGTGTTTTTTGCATCTGAAAAACACATTAATATAATTTATGGACAATGTAGTTATTGCCAGTCATGATGAAAAATGCACATCACTACGCTGTTTCTTATACAATGGCCGATATTTTATTTAAATATTTTACAACATTACAAGACATTTACACGACCCAAAAACAATATCATATCGCTTCTTTTATCTACAATGGCAAAGAGGAAAGGATGATCAGCAGTAAAAGATGGCGTGAAATCCATTATTGGTCTTATTCGATTGCCTATAATTCCAGTAACTGCCGCAGCTTCGCTACCTTTTTCGTTTACTTCTACTACTGCCTTATGCAGAATTTGACTAACGTAGACATTCTTGCTATCTGTCATTCCAGAAAAGTCAGCTGCTGGACGAAATATTTTATTGACTCCCAGTGATTGTATGTGACCAGACAATTCTTGAGAATATTGCACCTTAAATTTGGGGAGTGAGACAATGACTTTTGTGGGATACAGTTGCTGTCGGATGGTGGCCAGCTTTTCCGCAGTAAGGCTTTCTTCGAGAGCTTTCAGTCCATCTCGATTTTCAGGCAGCAAGACGAGCATACTGATGTTTTCTCCTTTGTAAGGCAGTTCCAAAGCTTGTAGATCGTAAACAGCAGTATAAGGGAATCGGGCAGTTATGTGCATCATTGGAATTTCTCTAGTTAAAGAAAAATACATAATTCTTTACGAACGTATTCTTTACATATATGTATAAATCGCAGGATGTTCATATGTTCGTATTAATCTTTTAAAAATATTTTCAAAATTTCAGCTCTTTTTTTAGTTTTTATGTGTTTTTGCTAAACTAATTATTTTACCTTAGATTAGGTGTATAATTTCATTTTAACTCATACTTTAAACTTACGACGGTAGCAGTGAAATTTTTTAGAATGGCAACACGGCGTGAAGCATGGTGCTGTCACTCCGCAAGGTTGAAAGCACGAATCTGTAACATGAGAATGCAGCATAAGTTGTATGGTCGTTCTCTCTTGTTCCACATAAACTAAATTATATTCTATAATGGCCTGACGAATTGTCGCATAGGCGTGAAGGACTACCAAAGCAGAAGAAGGGGGAAAATAACACTTTATTAATTCAAAATAGTTAATAGTATACAAAGGCACCGTTGCGATGAAACCAAAAACGTAGAATATAATTCAAGTCAAACCTAAAATAAGTAGTGCTAAATAGCACTTAAGTTACGCCTAAACAGGTGGTCTCACAAAAACCTAACAGGCGTGATGATAATTCCAATATGAGCAAGAGGCTTACTTACGTAACATAGCGAAACAACAACGTAGCGTGCGTTGGCTAGCAAAAACACGCTCTGAATAAACTCAGAGATTCACCCGTTTAAATATGCATTTCACTTAACTGTAAATTTACATCCTGGCGAGGGAATGTGAGGGGAAGTTGAGAAGTTCAAATAAAGGTATCAACTTAAAATAACTTTGTTATGCAAAATAAGAAAAACCCTACAAAGTAACTTAGGGTCTGTGTCTTGCTCTGAATAAGATGAATTATACTGGTATGTCAGCTGAATTTTTTTTAACACAAGAACATTTACTACGATTATTTTCTTTTTTGTGGCGGTGTTTCCAGCAAGTCTGTCCGTTTCTGGAGATTATATACGTGAAATTCAGAATAATATATCCTTTTTGACGCTTTTTGAATGCTAAAAAATCTTTCTTGGTAATATAAAAATATTAAAACTTCAGGAGACTCAGCGAACTTCGAGTTAGCTAAAATGTTAGCATCCTTATTAATTGAACCGTTTCTGTAGAATAAGGGAGAATTAATTGAATCCATTATCTTTCATTTCTAGCAGCGGAGAATAATTGCGGAGTGAGATGAAATTAGAAAATAAATAGAGAAATTAAATTTAAATTTAACTCTTGGTATGTTTTTTATAAATTTTCTTTAAAAACTTATATTTTTTTAAAAAAATTTCAAGTCATCATGTAGGCCTGCAAAAAATGCACTTCTTTCAGTAATGTTTTAATTCAAATCGGATTAACAGAACATTTGTTACAGTAATTCCGTTAGTCAATCTAGTCGCAATAATTGTCAATAAATGACGCGTTCTTTCAGCGGAATAATCTCAAGCAGATGGTAATAATGCCCAATTTGACTTTAATACTGTGACTCATCGTATGCCACTTATGCCTATTTTTAACCTTTCGTTATAATTTGTAGGAAGATACTAGAAAAAGAAGAGCAGGTGTTTGAAAAAAAAGTCCGGATTAAATGAAGTGCGTGTTATCCTTTCATTTAGAAGTCTATTTCATTTATAGTTCTAATTTCTATATGCCAAGGAAATGCGCTCTTTTTTCATGCAAATGGCTGATATTGAATTTTTGAAACTTCAAGAGCTGAGCTATTTATAGCATATAAAAATTATACCTATCATTTTAAACAAAAATATATGTCTGAAAACTCGAGATGAGTATGTGAAAAATCAAATTGTTTCAGAAGTTTGCTACTCAATGAAAACATTACGATGTTAATGGGGAATGTTAATTCAAAACTACAAATCTATATATTTACACAAAAATTATATAAAATTCTACTATGTGTATAAATTAAGACAAGTATAAATTTCTATTATGAGAAAAATACGTTGTAAAGGATTTGAATCTATCAATCAAATGCTTACGAGACCGAAAAGGGATGCTATATAATTTTAAATGTTATACGCCAAAACAATTTGTAAATATAATTCCTAGAATACACAAAGTATCTATGAGAGCTTATGAGTCATAATTTAATTTATCATTTGAAAAGAAACGATGACATTAATAAATAAATTTATTGTTTAGTATGCTGGGGTTTATTTAGAAATTTTACAAATTAAGACGTCACAAATTATTTACACGACCTAGAAACAGGATAATATCATTTCTGTTATCCACTACGGCAAACAAAAAGGGGTGGTCAGCGGTGAAAACTGGTGTAGGAATCATCATTCTATTTTCAATGATTCCAGTAACAGCAGCAGCTTCGCTGCCTTTTTCATTCACTTCCACCACAGCTTTATGAAGAATTTGACTGACGTAAACGTTGTTCTCAGTTGTCATCCCTGAAAAATCAGCAATCGGACTGAATATTTTGTTGGCTCCCAAAGACTGAAATTCTCCAGACATTTCTCTCGAATATTCCACTTTGAATTTAGGAAGTGAGACTACGACTTTCATCTCGTCTAACTGCTGTCTAATGTTCTCCAGTCTGTCTAGTGTAAGGCTCTGTTCAAGAGCAGAAAGTCCATCTCTACTTTTAGGTAACAAGATAATCATACTGATGTTTTCGCCTTTGTATGGTAATTCCAGAACTTCTACATCGTCCTCAACAGTGTACGGAAAACCGCCAACTATGTGCATCATTGGTACTTCTCTGTAAAAAAATTAAGAAATGAGGAAATAAAAAGAGACAACTATACTTAATCAATATCCGCGATGTTCATTAGCCTTTTAGCTTTGAATTTTTTATTCAAAAACTGAATAAATGTCATTTCTTTTTCAATGGAACATGGGATCATGCTCGAAAGCTAATGTGTAAGTCAATAAAGAATAATTTAATATAAAATACAGCGATCTTCCTAACACTACAAAAATTCCTTTATATGAAATGTTAATTTACTATCAACTTCCACTGTTATACAGGGTGTTTATAATTAAAGTTCCACATTGAAATGGCAATAAAAGGAAAACTACTGGATCAACTGTTATCAAACTTGGTAATCATGTAAAGGAGGTCATGAGACTTTATTTTCGGCCGAAAAAAAATTCGAAAACTCACCACCAGGAGGGAAATGGATCTTTATGCAATATTGTTAAACGAAATAAGAGTCGGAATCTAACTTAAGTTTTTGCAACACGGATTTAATAAGCTGCATATACCCTTAAGAATCATTGACCTAAACAAAATCCCCATTTAAAGGTGTTACAGGCAATAAAAGTCGAGTACGCCACCCGTGTAACGGAGAAATCCGTCAACGAAAAACCACAAATTAGAGATTAGAAAATGTGAGATTGCAAATCACTAGCAAAAGTGCGCGCATTCTGGAAATCGTTTTGTTACAGATCGCTAATTTCTGATTTTTGAAGCCTGAATTTAACGATCCTGCTGCAAGAGAATCTTTCGCGTTGGAATTCCTTGCACTGATTAAGTGGACGAACATTGACCATGGAGCATTTTGTGGACATATAGGCCCATTTTTACCTAAATGGCGATGTAAACACCCATAACTGCAGGATTTGGGCCAAACAAATCCCTCATGTTATCTACCCAGTTCCACTGCATTATCCTAAAGTCACCGTTTGGTGTAGTATGTTAGTTAATTTGATAATTGGAGCATTTTTCTTTGAAGAGCAGTCGATAGCTGGACCTATTACATGCACTGTGACTGCAGCTCGCTTAACGTCAATGTTAAGCCGTTTCGTGATATCTGAACTGCAACAAAGTGTCATTTTAGACACCACGATTTTTATGCAAGACGGGGCCCCACCACACATCGGTACATATGTCAACTTATGTACTTATTACTTAGGCAAGATTTCACGAATAAAACCGACACTTCCTCACTTCTTGACTACCTCGGTCACCAGACCTTAACCTCTGTGACTTTTGGCTACGGGTTATCTCAAAAGCACTATTTATGGCGATAATCTAAACAGTTGGTGGAATTGAAAGATGCGATACACCAACAAGTCCATAACATTCCTCCTGATATGCTAAGAGTTGCTGTTGAGAATGCAGTAATACGATTTAACTTGCTTTCGAAAAATGGTTGGCGCCACATTCGACATGCTTTGTAACACGTTTCAGAAACGATTAAACACATTTTAAACCGATGTATTCATGTCTTTTTCGTTTAACAATGTTACCCCCTGGTGGTGAGTTTTTGAACCTTTTTTCCCGAGGAAAATAAATTCCTATGACCTCCTTTACCCAATTACCAAGTCTGATAACATTTGGTCCATTTACGCAATTTCCAAGTTTGATAACATTTGGTCGATTAGTTTTCCTTTTATGACCATTTCAAAGTGGAATTTTAATTGTGACCATCCCGTAGTTCAATAATTAGGCAATTGCCTGATTATCGAACTACCTACTGCCTGATTTTTAGTCATTTTTATGTACTGCCCAGCAAAATGAATCCAAGTTACAAAGTTTCAGTACATCATATATATATAGGCTTTTAATTGCTGGAACGATTGAGCCGGCATATAGTACCAATTATTAACTATTTTGTAGCCTATATAAGTTGGAATCAAGTGAAATAGTTTTTAAGTGGAAAAGAATAGAACATGATATCAAATTTCAACTTTTTACAGCTTACACAAGTTGAAGGTCAAATAGGTTAATTTTCTTGTAGAACATAATATATGACGAAGTAAAATATATAGTTAATTACTAAGAAGTTAACTGGCTGATGAATAAACTGCCACAAAACATTCGGAGTATTTGCCTGAAAGAACGAGTTATCTTGATGTAGAACTTCTTAATTAAAAAGGACTCATACTTACCTGATATTATATGACACGAAATCACAAAAATTCCAGTGCAGCCACTTCATTTTGTTGCCAAAAATCAAACTGAAAACTTAATCGTTAGCACCCTAGGAATTTAACCCCTCGAACATCGAAGAATCCTAAATGTGGTAATTTTATTGGTACTTTTTGATTGCCTCTAATAGTATGTTAACCCCTCGAACATCGAAGAATCCTAAATGTGGTAATTTTATTGGCACTTTTTGATTACCTCTAATAGTATGTTAAGAATATGTTCAAGATTAGCTGCACCGTGTTCGAATACTTTAAAAGTATACACAGAATTAAATGATGGTCATTAAAATGTAATTTAAATGTTAGGTATTAAGACTATTCTGAAAAAAAAGTATATTTCCTTCGCCATTGAAGCTCTTCCTCGTATCTTAATACTTTATTTGTAAACGATTACGCTAATTGCAGATGATAAAATAACAAATATAAAAACGAACTGTGGAAACTAATTGCAAGAAAATTAACTTACTTAGCTTCTGATTCCAATCCATTGTTATAAAATTTCTGAGGTTTAGTTTTCTTCACATCGAACTCAGTTTTCCAAGTACCTTTAAAGTAGACAGCATTCAAAAGGACCAGAACAGTTGACGCATCCAGCTCATCAACCAAACTGTCGATCTTGCCATTTGTTTTGGCTTTTACCCAATCGTTTATTTCTTCCACAATCTTAGGCCCATCTTTCGCAAAATCGACATCCTGAACAGAAGCCTGGTATAAGGCTTGAACTTCTCTCTTGTAATTCGCTATCAACTGTAAGCTTTTGTCAGCCAAAATGGCATTTGCTGCATTAAGGACATAGCTATCGGAATCTCCACTCTTTATCGATTCTGTTAGTAATCGATAAAAAGATGAATGAACAAACTGGTTTGATAGATTAGCTTTCTCATATCCTAAAACAGTTCTAAGTTCCTAAAAAAATAGAAAATAAACAAATAAATAAACAACCTCATTTTTAATTTTATAGGATTCCTATTTTAAAAATTATTCTTATTATCCGAAAAGTTTCCAAATAATCAAAGTATCGCTAGAAACATTCTTAGTTCAAGCTTTATGTTTCAGGTGAACTTCGAGATTTTCTTGATTGAATTTCGTTTTGCTTTATTAACAGATCAGTCCTTTGAAACAGACTTCTAAATCATCGAACAAAAGAACGTCAAGATATTGAAGAAATTATTGCCAACATTTTGAAGAAATTATTCCCTTTGAATATATTTTAGCAAAGCTATTTACATATTTAAATAATAGTCTTATATTAAAGAAAAGCAGAAATTTGGAAAACTAGTATTAATATTTGTTATTGATAACTAAAATCAAGGTATTTAGCTTCCTGAGTTTTAATTTTTGTTTAAAACCTTTTCTTGTCACTAACAACTTAAATACGAATAAATCGATCATGAGCAATGATTTGGTTTGGTTTATTGAGATTACGACAAAGAACACTAAAACCCTGGGAAGGAATGCCTTTGTGGAGGACTTTCTACGGGAAACTGGCTCGTATACACGCTACAGATGGGAAAATCACGAAAACGTCCATGCGTCCTGGAATCGAACCCAGGTCGGAACTTCCAATGTTTAGCAACTTTCCCGCCCGGCAACTGGTGGACCTAGCGAGCATTGAAATTTATGGATGTGCGTATGTATGTATATTTACTTTCGAAAATTTTTATAGTTTTTAAATATATTATCTCGATGTTCAGAAACTCTGAAGAGGTGATTCAAAAAGGGAGAAGGAAAGCTTATGATTTTTTAAACATGAGACAAGATTTTAATAATTTAGTTAATTATATCGATTCTGTAAATTTGCACTATCTCTGCTTCTTTTCAATTTGCTCTCGTGATTTTATATGCAGTCTTACGGATCTTATTTATATGCAGTCTAACAATCCATTCACAAGTATGGAGTTACTGTATATTTTATTCCTATATTTTTTTTATAATTTGGTGTTTCACTTACTATTTGTTGGAGTTACATTTAAAGTTGATTGATAAAATAATTCTTTTGCTCTTAGCTACAATAAAATGATTCTTAGTTTCCGAACGTTTAGAAAATTGTGCAGTGCACATTATTGTTTCACTTTAATTAAAACCCAGCTTAATTCACGAACTAGTAACTCTAACATTTCTTTAACTACTATTCCCTGATTTGCTAAATATTTATAGCAATAGATGTTTCATAGAGAACTTGAGGATTTATTATAATTCTAAACTGAGGTACAAATGTTATGAAGATAATTAATTTCTTCAAAATCATGCAAAGAGATTATAAACGAAAGACAATAAACATAATTTTATGTATGCATTCTAAAACAACTACAAACTAACAGTCATTATCATTTTAAGATTTATTGATTTATTTTCTTTAAATTACATATAATTTTTTTGAATTATCACAGTGACATGTTTTCCTAAATTAACTGAACTTCTCGTTTTTTATAATTATAAATATAGAAATATGATATATTTATTATATTATAATTGTAATTATTAATATTTATTATAATTATAATATATTATTACAATTCTAAATGATAAAATATAATTAATTTCTTCAAAATTATTCAAAAATATACAAAAGAAAGATAGTAAACAAAGTTTCAAGTATGCCTTTTAAAACAACTATAACCTAACAGTCCATTAATCATTTAAGCTTACTCATTTTATTTAAATTACATAAAAATACTTTTGAATTATCACAGTGACATATTTCCTAATTAATTAAACTTGGTGATTTCTCTTTTAATATTTTTTTGATGGCAACTTTGTTTACTATATCGTTTTATATTTTTTCTTCAAATAAAAAATATGATGGGGAAAAAACCAGGATTAAAAAAAAAAAAAAGGGAAAAAAAAAAACAAAATCTGAAATGTTTCAGATTTTAATTACGTCCAAAGGGGCGTTTTTTTAACATTTTGTGTGTTACCTTTCTTTATTAAATATCATGTTTCCTCGCACTTAAAAACCATAAGATCCAGTGCAACAGCAATATCGCAAAATAGTTTTAAAAAAACGAGCATATCTTTAGAATTTCCGATACAGAGACTCACGCGCTGGAGATAAAAATGTTTTTTTCTGCACAACGTTGCCATTGCTCGCTTTGAAATCCTTGAGTTTGTTAATCAAAAATTCGTCAAAGTTTTAAAAAATAGGAAATCGATCATAAAACAAATTTCAAATTTCAAATTTGGTCTTCCACATGCTCATATTCGTTGGAGGATTACGTTATTCAAAATTCGATGACTCTATGTACCGTTATTTTATGACAATACGAGAAATATACATACATTTATGCAGATTTTTCATTATTTAATTTCTTCAAATATAATGCAGGACTCTAACATTTTGTGGCAACAGTTTGAAAAGTGAACCGACATTTATGAGTCCGACGCAAAATGACAAAACGAAACTAATAGTCCTTCGGGATTCAAATCCCTTTGGACTAAAAATAAATGTAGACATAAAATGTGATATCTTTTATACACGTAAGAATGAGATATATTTTAATATAGAACAGAATTGTAATATTTTATTATTTAGAAAATAATTATATTTATTATCCATATTGGAGTGGTAACTCCATATTTGTGTCATATAACAGTTGCTGAGCAACGTCAAAAATGTTTAAAAATTGTTATTCTTAAAGTTTTACCAGTAGATGTATTAAAAATTTATAGAGAAAGAAACTGCTGGAGTGTGAAGCTGTAACGGATAAATTTGTATTTAAATTACCTATCTTCGTGATTTCAGAATAAAATTTTATGTTTTACTTAGAAGCTCATCGGTTATATCGATAAAAACAGCAAAGTACGTTACAGTCTTATAAATATTGGAGGTTCCGCCGAGATTTGAACTCGGACCGCTGGATTCAAAGTCCAGAGCGCTTTGAAAAAAAACACTCTGGACTGGCTCACTTTGGACTGATTCTGGAAAAGCACTCTGGACTTACTCACTCACTCACTCTGACTCGCTTTTTAAAAAGCACAATAAGAAATGAAATGTAGCTTATCCATGAAAATCACACTCAAACCATCAAGCACAAGCTAGCGCTGAATATAAAGAGCCGTTTAGGTTTTCTTTCTCTCTGCTGCATGTAATAAGGGACTAAGAAATAGATACTTTAAAATTTCAGGCTTCATGCTGTTAGATATTCTGGACAATTTCAGTCGTTTTACAAATATCAGAATTTATATTTATAATTAAATTTAGACACTTTATTTCTAGATTCAAGTTATATCATTTTCTTCTAATTGTTCCGAAGTCATAAAACACCCCTTAAATCTAAAATACTCCTTTGAAATCAACGGTCTGATTGAATCACATATTTAAGAAATTTTCAAAGCATACGTGCGTTAAAGACACTGTTTTATATTTTGTCATAGGCTTCTGAAAATACAGGATATGAACTTCAGTAAATAAAACGTAATTAACTGGCTAATTAAAATGTATAGTCGCATCTTCTTTGGAAGCATCAACTAATTTGAAACTCCAAATTTTATCCCTCCTTTCCGCATTCCTTCGTGGTGTAATAGAAAGCATACTCAACGCGTATTCGAGAGGTCCGAGGTTCGTGTACAGCGAGAGCATTGCACATTTTTCAAGTCACCTGCATCAATATAAAATACTAGCTCTACAATCTTAAGCGACTTATCTCTGTGTTTAGTAAGAAGTAAGAGAAGATCCTTTCATTAAACTAAGTAATTTAACAGAAGACACTTCTTGTGCTTATAAACCAGCCAGCATTTATGACGTAACTTAAAAGTAATGAATTCAGATTCAAGCTAAGTAGTCAAACGCTACACAAAATAAATAACTCGCAAGTTGCCCCAAACCTAATACTGGCGTGACACGCCTAATGGCGAGAATAACGCAAGTCGCAGACAGATTAACATGTTCTTGAGCAGGCGGAACACGTTCTGATTCAACAATTCAAAACCTTCCTTTAAATACTACCTCTGTCTACCTCATTCGAATACGCGTGAACTAAAATTTATATTCTGATAGGAAAACAGAAAGCGAGAATAACATTAAAGTTACTGAGTATAAAATAACTGGTCAGAAAAATAAAAAAAGGTATCAGTAAAAAACAAATATTGGCATTAGAAACATCTTTCATTAACTGCAGTACTAAACCAAATAGTATTATAACAGTATTAAAAATTAGAAAATAAAATAAAATCTGAAAGGTTTCAGATTTTAAATTATGTCCAAGTGGTCGTTTCTTAATATTTTGTGTTTTACCTTTATTTATTGAATATCACGTTCTTCGCACTTAAATCATAAAATTCAGTTCAACAACAATATCGCAAAATGATTTTAAACTAAGCATATCTTTAGAATTTCTGATACACAGTCTCGCGCGCTGGTGATTTTTTTTTCCCGTACATTGTTGCCGTTGCTCGCTTTGGAATCGTTCCTGACATTCTTGAAGATACCTCTAATGATAATGATCATATCACCAAAGCCAATAGAACAGTATATTCTTTCCTTAATAGCCCTGGACTACCTAATTTCACCTTTCTTGCTTCTCCGAGAATTGTTGCGGATTTTATTAGCTCTTTAAAAAGTAAAAAAGCTACTGGATGTGATGGCATTTTTTCCAAAGCACACAAGCATCTTCCAATTAATGCAATTACGTGGTTAATTAAAATAATTAACTCAATTATCGAGCTCTCTTACTTCCCCAAAAGTCATGGAAACATGCAGTTGTTGTTGTCTTCTCTCAGCAAAGCCTTCATCCCTAAGTTCTACTTTTCCTCAAATTATCGGCCTATCAGTTTACTTAGTCAAATTTCAAAAATTGCTGAAAAAATTATTCTGTTTTATATTAATCGAATCATGCCTCCTAGCTCTTATACTCCTGAATGAACAATTTGGATTCAGACTCTGCACAGCACCAATCATCAGCTTTCTCCGCGTTTCAATTACACTACTGATGGATTCAATTGCAAATTTTCCTACCGGTTGCAGTTTTCTTAGATATTTCCAAAGCCTTTGACGAGTATGGCACCAAGGACTTATATTCAAACTAATTCAGCCAATTTTTCCGAACCACTTTATTCGACTTATTGCCTCTTACCTCAAAATCGCACTTTTGCTGTCAAAGTTGGAAACAACCCTCTCAACTACTAGAAATATTACTGCAGGTGTCCCTCAAGGCTCTGTTCTCTCTCTCCTTTTCTTTACAATATTTATACTCAAGACATTCCAAAAATCTCATATTACTATCGCCTTATTTGCCGACGATACCGCTATCCTATCTCAAGCTTCAACCATCAATACTATACAAATTTTTCTACAAAACTGTTTGGAGCTTCTTGAAAACTGGATGACGCTGTGGAGAATTGCCGTTAACACTGACAAAACCAAAGCCATTATTTTCAGAAAAGGACAAACAAACTTCCTTTCGCCTAATCCCATCTTCTTTGACGACGAAATTCAGTGGACGGATCAAGTGAAGTATCTCGGAGTCACACTTGACAAAAAACTCACTTTTCGGCAACATTTACACGAAACCTTCAGGAAATTCAATATCTCAATAGCTACTATGCATCCTCTCCTCGGCAGACATAGCAATCTGACTATCAACAATAAGCTTATTTTATACAAGTCCATCCTTAGACCTACTTTACTTTACGCCAGTCCGGTGTGAGGTCACGCCGCTAAAACCCACATAAAAAAGATCCAAGTTATTCAAAATAAAATCCTTCTTGAAATTATTAATGCACCCTGGTTCATCCCAAATTCATATATTCACAGATATCTTCAAATTGATACTATACAAAATTATATAAAAAAAACTTGCAACATTTTTTTTTTTTCTTTCTGTACTATTACATCCAAACAGCTGTATCAGTTCTTTGCGATGCTCCCTTTTTCTAGAGCAAAACACACATATCTTTCGGATATTGTAACCTAGCATTTTGTTAATTTATTTGAAGTACCTACTACCTTACTGATCCAACTTTTTTTCACACTGCTGGTCTATTTTCATTCCTTTCATCTTTCTTCGCCGACTAATGGCGGCTAAGTGAAATATCTCATTCTACCATCTTGATTCTTCATATTTTCCTTTTGTTGTTCCAGACATTCTTTTATCTGATACAGAGTAAAAGCGCGCTGTCACTCTCTTTCCATTCAACACAAGTCAAGTTTGTTAATCCAAAATTCGTTGAAGTATTACAAAATATGAAATCGATAATTAAACAAATTTAAAATTGAAATTAGGGCTTCCACATGCCTATATTCTATGCAAGGTTATTCAAATTTTGATGGCTCTAGGGACCGTTGTTTTATCAGAATGCGAGGAAAATGCATACATTTATGCAGATTCTTCATTATTTAATTTCTTTAAATATAATACAGGACGATTATATTTGGTGGCAACAATTTGAAATGTGAAACAACGCTTACTGTGAATCGACGCAAAATGTCAAAACGAAATCAATAGTCCTTCTGGGCAAATTGCCCCTTTGGACTAATAAATCCTTACAAACGAGTGCAAACCTGTTAATAAAAAAATCGTATCCTGTCTAAATTAAAAAATCTTGTATACCTTTGATTAACAACTTTTTCAATGAAGCGTTGGTTTTTATCAACTTTTCTTTTCTTTCAATTAAGAAAATTCTGCATAAGTTCTCATAAAAGAATGTTTGACCTTCTGACCACATAAAAAAAACATACTATAATGGCCTAGATAATTAATATTTTAATTTCACTTTTTCTTCCCTAATATCTTTAATACTAAGAAATGAATTGAAGATCGCCATTTAGGGTACTTTAAATCGGCTGGAAATTAAATTTTATTCTATCAAGTCTCCAATGATCATTTTATATATTTTTCCCATTAGAATATAATTTGTTTGAAATGCTATAATCTGTAATTAATATATTAATTATATTAATAATTATAATGATGCTATAATTTGTTTAAGGGTCTTAAGTAAGTCAAATCACATGATCGTAGAATTCCTGAGCTTACGTATCGTAAGCAAATCTCATGTTCATCTACGCAAATTATTCCAAAATTCGTATTTATATTCATTCACAGCCTGTCATTAGTAATATTAATTAAGCCATTATAATAGTTTAAACTACAGTAAGTTGAAGGCATTGTTTATTATACAAAAAGAAAAAAATTCAAAATCTCAGACAACAGAAAATGCTATCGATTATACTCTGAAAATATCTGGTTTCCACGCACCTTAATATTCATTAAATTGGAAGCATTGCCAACTCATGCAACATTATCTTAGTTCAAATTTTTCTCCTTATATACCATACGCATGTACCAGAAAATGTTCACCATTACTAAAAAATCATTTTCGAATTTTTTATCGCATATTTCTAATTGCAATGATACAAATTTATGTTAACCTTTAAATATATAACTGGAATTTGAAAAGCAGTTATTTTTTTAATTATTATTCAGTGTTTTAAGAAATTTAAGCTTTACGATTTTAGTTTCTTGAAAATGGTTGCAAATAGTTACAAATGAGAGGAATACGACCCGATCCATCTGGTCTAAAAATAGACCTTGTAATCTTATTTGGGTTGCCTCTAAGTTCTTCAAGATGGTAAGGAATTTTTATTTGAATCGTTCAATATTACTGTGTTAACTACTTAAACAAGACGCCTCCTTTCTTAGCCAGTTTTGGCCTTAACTTCACTAGGCTGCAAGCTCCAATTTCTGCACAGCCAAAAACGCTTTGATTTTCACGATAATCAACTGCATCTGAAACACTTACCACCAGTCTATTCAAAATTACACCACTCAAGCAAATTAATTTTTACTTAAACTATTTCCATGCATTACCATAATTGAAGCCTCTAAATTAAATCTCTTCTTATTTGTTCTTACTTTTATTATTTGTGTTGACCTTTGTTTTAAAAATATATAAATACCAAAAATGTCAGAAAATCTTACAAAAACCCATAGAATTCCCCTGTTCCTTCTTAAACATTTATATTCTTGTGAATCTTTATAGATTGCTTTTCTATATTAAATTTTTCCGATTTCTGCCCTTTCATTAATATTTTTTATGTACAGGTAAATGATTTTTCAACCATAGTCACTGCGTAAATTTAAACCGTTATCATGGGCGCTAATTGTTTCATAATTATCAGTTTTCTTTGTAGCTTCAATCTATCCTTAAAAAAGATTTCATTTACTACAAATGCAACACACCAGCGACCTAACGTTAAAAGTCGCTGAACACTGGTAGTTCGGTCTGAGGTTCGAATCCCGCGAACGGGCTGGCTGCTTGGGGGTTTTGATAGTTTTTGCCGTAATCACATAAGCCAAACCACCAAACCATTCACTACAAATGCGGACAACTTCATTCGTAGGATCTCTGGTTTAAAAGTTAAGATTAGCAATTGCAGCAGAATTAGCAGATACAGAAAGCATGCGCTAGCAAGATTTTTAACATTGCTAGCATACTTAACTGACTTTTGATCTAGTTTAATATCGAAAAGATGCCACGAATTTAATGACTATTAGTGAGGTTTAAGATGTTGTAAAAAACATTGCTTCTCATTTTCATTATAATGATGCAGTCACTACGTTTCAACCACAAGAGGTTCTAAAACATTCCACACAAATAATGAGAGAAACTGTTATTTAAAACTATCGCAAAAATTATTTGAAAATTTGAGTTTTAACTAAAAAAAAATTATTTTATTCTTTAAAGAAATTTTAATTAATTGAAATCTGTTTGCTATTTTAAACTACGCTATCAACAGATAAAATAATCGTTGGAAAACATCTTATAACAGAAATTACAATTACGATGATTTAAGTTATGTTACCTGAGCTGTTTCTCCCCTTGCACCGTAGTAAAGCATTCCAAAAGCGGTAGAAATACTGAATGGAGAAAAGAAAACATTACTAGATGATCCTGATGATAATTTTTGATGCAAATTCAGAGCCAAATTATTACTGGCTGTAGCCAACTTTTTCAAGTGATCTTCTGCCGCTTGTGGAGGCGCCGCACTGGCAATCAAGCAACAAACTGACAATACCACAGCTACGGAGATCAGATTCGATAGCGCCATTTTGTGAGACAGCCTAAAAAGAAAAACGATAATCTTAAAAACGAATATAAAGGCGGCAACATGTATCACTAAAATTGGCTTTTAATGAGTAAAAGTATTGGGAACTTCCAAAATTCGTTCCTAGCTTTTCAGAAAGATCCTTTTCAAAATATATCAAAAATATTTGCCCCCAAAAAAGCAGGAGAAGAGGTGCAAAAATTGAAAACAACAATTGTAAATCTTGAGAATATTTAAGTATTATGATAACAGTTACAAAATTTCGAAATAACAAGCAGAAGTATTTAAATTTTACTTCAGTATGTCTCTCTTACTATTAAAAGTAGTAGGATACCTCACAATAGCCTATATAATATACTATAAAATACGAAACTCTTTTCATCTTTACGGAAATATATGCGCAGTGTTTGGAAGATATTTCTGTCATAACGTACTAAAGATAAAATTTTGTAATGGAATTACTTTGCGTACTTTTAGACTATCCGTGAAAAAATTCATAAAGCTACCATCAACAATATCATTATCTACAAAGTGCAAAAATGTAGAACAATACACAGACATCTTGTGAAAATAAAATTAAATATTATTAAAATAAGATTTAATAATACTTTCAGTAATACAAATCAGGAAAACTCATACATTCAACAACTGAAGCCAATCAGTTAATTTATTTCATTTTCTCGTTTACTTCAGAAAAAAATATGATGCATGCACCACATGACTTCCTTGTGCGGCCTATTAAATTACGCACATTTTTTCCTGCATTTCATTTAAACATATTTGCCCCAATTTTATTACAGATATATTTCACACCTATTAACCTAAAATATATTTCTCATTCAATAAATTCAGTTCTCACTTCTCGGCAAGGAAAAAATACATAAAAACTCAAAACATTTTCATTAAAAATTGTAAAATAGAGGAAAACCTCAAGCACCAAATACAATTAAAAACCGTCAAAAAAAACAATTTTTACATTTAAAATTAGTGTTTAAATTAATTAAAATCAGACAGAAAGACAAATTTTTTCAGTGCACAATGCGTTTGGCCCCACTCGGCAAAAGGACAGAGAAGTTGTTGATAATTCTGTATTCTAAATTGTTGATAATTCTACAACTATTTCATGCAGATTAACTAAAGGCATAAAAACCTTAGACGGAACATAAGAGCAGTATAATTGAATCATTTTTAAAGCAAAAAATGCACAATTTACAAATATATAAGAATAAAACACAGCTCATCAAGCCGGGTAACAGAGTGAGTATATATATATATACATTTTTGGTACAGCCGATTGCAACCGAAATGTGAGGTGCACAACTAGATGTTATAGCACTATACAAAATTTCAACGCCCTGAGTCTACTCATTTTTGAGTTATGCGAGCGATCGTAATTAACTTCAGGCATTTACTATTCTAAATTTAGTAACAATTATTACATAACATACATTTTCTCAAAATATTAAAATATTAATTTAATAAAAATACAATTGTTTAGAACGGAGCAGAAAATGGCTCACTTAAGTGATGGGACACTTACTTTTCCATCAAATATTTATCCAAAAATTTTACTTTTTAAAAGGTTTTAATATTTTGTTGGATTTCCTTTTACTTTTAAAACATGATTTAATCTTCTTGGGATGGATTCGACTAATTTTTTTTTTTTTTTTTTTGTGATTTCTGGAGTGATTTTACTCCATTCTTCTTGAAGCACCGATTTTAATTGTTGATTTGAAGAAATGGTGTGTTTGCGAATTCTTGATTCCAATTCTTGCCAAATATTCTCTATGGGATTTAATTGTGGAGATTGTGGGGGTGTTTTAATTATTTTAGGACAGTTATACAGCAGCCAGAGTCTAACGTTCAAAGCAGTGTGCTTGGGGTCATTGTCCTGGTAGAATTTAAAATCGTTATGAAGGTTCAATTTTCGTGCTGAAGATTTCAAATTTTGATTTAAAATGTCAAGATACTTGTACTGATCCATTATACTGTCAATAAAAACAAGATTACCAACTCCAGCGGACGACTACACCCCCATACCATAACTCCTCCTCCACCATGTTTTACTGTTGGCACCAAATTCTGTTTTCGAAATTCTTCCCTGGCTTTTCTCCACACCAAGATTCTACCGTCAGAACCAAATGTATTAAATTTACTCTCATCAGCAAATATAACTTCATTCCAGTAATCAGAATTCTTATTTATGTTGGATTTTGCGAAAGCCAGTCTGTGTTTTCTATTCTTTTCACTTACAAAGAATTTTTTCCTGGCTGCTCTACCGTGATATCCAGCAGATCGAATTGCTCTTCTAATAGTCTCAGGATTAACAATTACTCCATGTAATGCTTGTAAATCAGCAGCAACTTTACGAGCACTCATTCTTGGATTTTTTTTTAAATTTCGAACGATAATTCGCTTTATTCCATTGGATAGCTTTGATGGCCGGCCAGGTCTTCTTTTATCCCGAATCATATGATTCTTTTTATATCGTTTAATGATATTGAAAACTGTTGAATGACTCAAGTTAACTGTTTCAGCAGTTTCTCTAATAGATTTTCCACGTTCAATATGCAAATTAATAACTAATTTTCGAATTTCAGGCAAAGTTTCTTTCGTTTAGCATTCATGACAGCACAGAGCTAAAAAACACAAAAATTCCAAAACAAACTGGAGAGAAATACTGCAGACGATTTTATAAATTATTGCCATTTGCTTTTGAGTAAAAATATAAAAACCCCAAAAATATTTTTATTGCTTACTTCAGACGATTTTTGTTGCATAGTACGTGATAGTATCTAATGGTGTCCCATCAATTATGTGAGGCACTTTTTTGCTCCGTTCTAAACAACTGTATTTTTATTAAACTAATATTTTAATATTTTGAGAAAATGTATGTTATGTAATAATTGTTACTAAATTTAAGTATGAAACACACCCACAAAAAATTTTACATGTTTTTTAAATTTATTTTACTTCAGTTTCCTTTTGTAAAGCACAAGTGTCCCATCACTTTTGTGAGACACTGTATCTATTAGAGCACAAACAATAACTCCTTCACAGCATCTCTGTTATAGAGTAATAATTTCTTTTAATACTTTTAGAAATACCATCGCAAATTTTCTGCTTATTGAAAAAATCCTTATTTTTCTGTCATTTTCCAACATGATTTCTTTTGAATAAATTTTTCATTCAAAATTTAAGAAGTCTTTTTTCTAAATTGCTTAAATAATACTACCTTACTTGTCTAATTATTTAACAATTCATTTATTTATATTAATAAAATGGCATAAATTCATTCAGTAAAAAGTATTCCTAGAGCACATTCAAATTTTGACGAAAAAACAAGGAGAAGATGGCTCCTCAAAGTTCTCAAAAGTCATTAAATTATCGACTGGAAATAAAATACAGCAAGCAATTTTTGTTGTTGAGAAAATCATTTGTTCAAATTTGAAAATTTTAAATAGAAATATACACAGATTTTTTTTTCCTATAAGCATTTACATATTAACGCGTTAATTTAATTACGCATTTTTAGTCACGAATTATCGGATTAAAGAGTTTAATACACAAGTTATAAAAACAGAAAATTTACTAAGACAGCTATAAAATATCTGAATTAAAAAACAGAATTTCAAAACATGTAGGATAAATTTAGAGAGTTCACACTTGTAAATACGTACCCTTTTGACTTTTGTAGAGAAGGTTTTTCGGCGCGTGACACTTTTATTTCTTCTCCGCGAGAAATTTGGCTTGTCGAACAGCTGCCCGTGACTATTACTCAGACAGATGTTCGACAATTGCATTGCTATCTGTTTCGACTGTCAAATATAAACCTTATCTATTATTGATAAGGGTCTAGTCACACTGCACAAAACATTTGCATAAGATCTGGGTATTAAAGCTTTTAATGTTAAGATAATATGTTTCCCCACGCTTTATGAAAGAAGAGTGTTTCGTGAAATTTCTCGTAATTGCGTAAAAAGAAAAAGAAATTACCATTAATTAAAAAAACGTTTTCTGCCGTACCGTGCCACCAAAACAAATAATAATAATAAAATGAAATCACAACAAATAACACTGAAAACCTAAACTCACATTTAAAAAAACTGATAATATGATAAATACTCACCCGCAAAATAGAAACAGCATAAGTATAGTGTAATGTTTCCTTATAGAATAGGGTAGACAACTTGGGAACGCTGAACTACTTAGAAATGGTAATAAATAATAAAAATGCAAGCTGGCTTTTAAAAGATTTGTAGTGAATGTAGCAGCTCCCACTACATATAATATTATCTTTGTTGCTGTGAAGTTTAGGTTTTCTAGATTGGCAACAAGAAAAAATGTAAACAAAGCTAACTCGCTTTGATGTTGTAACTCTGTCTTCTTTCATTATTGTGAACTCCAATCTGGAATTATCATTTAAGCTATTAAATCATCTCATGTGTTGACTCAGCCTCCCCAACATGAGAAATGCTAAGACTGAAATATAGTACACAGCAGCGATAGTCAACTGGTGGTACGCTAAAGAAGAATAGTTGATACGCAAAGAAACATAGTATTTTAATTCATAAGCTCAAAAATTAAATACCCCAACATCCTGTTTAAGTTTTTTCTCTAACTCTCGTAAATTTATGCGATCTGAGCTTTGTTGTTGATCTGAGCTTTTGTAAGTCAATAGCCGCTCATGGACTTTAGCAAAGTAATCCGTTTTTATTTTCACAAATATTCTTTTAGCCATAGACATAACAAAATTTGCCGTGAATGATGTTTTTAAAAGAAGTAATAGAAATGGATGTTGTAATTAACAGGAAATAAAAATAAATTCCTGCAAAAGGATAATAGTATTTCTGTAGTTAACAGGAAATAAAAATAAATTCCTACAAAAAGATAATACTGTCTCTTTACTTCTTTTCGAGTTATCGATTTATTAGAATGTGTAATAGACTGATGTGTAATAGAATGATATTTTTAGAAGGAGTAATAGAAATGGATATTGTAATTAACAGGAAATAAAAATAAATTCCTACAAAAACATAATAGTATCTCCGTAATTAACAGGAAATAAAAATAAATTCCTACAAAAACATAATAGTATCTCCGTAATTAACAGGAAATAAAAATAAATTCCTACAAAAAGATAACAGTGTCTCCTTAATTCTTTTAAAGTTATCGATTTATTAGAATGTCTACACTTTTTGTCGCGACCATTTCCGAGCTCATTTTTCAATAAGAATAATTTTTTACGTCGATTTGCTGTCTCTAAAAGTAGGTATTCTAAAAGTAGGTATTTTGTTGCTTTATACTCTTTACTTTTCTATGCGATTTGAGAATATCGTCGTTTGATTTTGAACAACTCGTAATATATTGTGCATTTAAATATTTGTGAAAAAATAATAAAACAAACCTAGATTTTGAAATTAAAAAATGGCTACGCTTGACTAAGCGTAAGAGTGATGATCCATAGATGTTGGATCCAGGACAATCTAAGAATATGGAAAATAAAATAAAAATTGTTTATAGCAAATATAATGAGAGTTATTTATGATTTGGATTTACTTGGAATGGAGATGAAATGGACCCTCAACCTCAATGTGTTGTTTGTGGTGAACTGTTATCCAATCAAAGTATGAAACCATCGTTTCTGAAAAGACATCTTTAATCTAAGCATGCCAATTTAAAGGATAAATCTGAAGAATATTTTAAGAGGTAAATATCGGAGTTCAAAAATAGTAAACAAGTAATGAAAGCTTTTGTTACTTCAAATGAAAAAGCTTTGAAAGCTAGCTACATAGTAAGCCTAAGCAGCTTTCTTCAATAGTGTGAACCTGGGCAGGCTCACACTATTGAAGAAAATTATAGTACTAACAGTTTAAATAAATATGAAGAAAATTATAGTACTTATATTACTAACAGTTAGAGATATCTTTTTAACAATATTCAAATAAAAAGCGGATAATGAACTTGATAATATTCAGTTATCAAATGATATAGTAAGTAGACGAATTCAAGAAATGGCAAATTCCATAAAAGAGACACTTATTCAACATAAATAAATAAAACACAATGAGTATTTCCCATTGCAGTTGGATGAAAGTACTGATATAACGAACTTTGTTCAGTTATTAGTTTACATACGTTTCGAAGAAGATAAACGAATTGCCGAAGAGTATTTATTTTGTGAACCTCTTCATGATACAGCAACTGCCAATGAAATTTTTAAAGTAATTGACTATTTTATGTCTGAGAATCATATTCCTTGGAATAAGTGCATTGCCGTATGCAGTGACGGAGCTCGGGCTTTAACAGGAAAACATGTCGATGATATTTTGCAAATAAAGAAATTCGCAGTTGAAACTAAATTTACTCACTACTCCATTCATCGTGAAGCTTTAGTACCCAAAACAATTCCTGAAAACCTTATAAGGTATTTCTCCCCCTTTCCTAGCGTGCCTTCGTGGTGTAGCGGTTCTGCACGCTGGGCCGGTATTACAGATTCCTGGCGAAGGCGGTTGCTTATTTTTCATCTTTTCTGCTTCCAAAAAAATCCTAATATCTGATGTAATCCTAATGTTTTTGCTTCCAAAAACAAAACCTGAAAATCGTTTTAAATCAAGCTGTGCAAATTGTTAATTTTATTTTATTAAAAGCCGAGATTCAAATTCAAGAATATTTGCGATTTTATGCTAAGAGATGGTGAGTGAACATGAAACGCTTTTATTATATTCCTAAGTAAGGTAGTTATCCGGAGAAAAGTCTTAAATCGTCTTTTTGAACTTCAATCAGAATCCACATTTTCTTCTGTGATTCAAAATTTGAATAGAAAAAAATTTTACTGATTTATGGTTGGCGTGTTTAGGATATTTAACTGATATTTGTGGAGCGTTAAATGAATTAAATTTAGGATTATAAGGATTATAAGTGTTAATTTGTTTGCCATTAGAGATAAAATAAATGCAATGATAAAAAAACGCGAGCTAATAATTAAAGCATTGGATAATAATATTTTAAGCTTTTTACCACTTTTAGAAAGTTTTCTAACAGAAAATAATTTGAAAATATAAGAATTAGCATCTGACTATAAAAATCATAGTTTCATTGATAAATAATTTCAACGTGCATTTTCCCGAGGATTGTGAAAAAGAAAATTGGATTAGAAATCCATTTTATTCAAATGTGCCTGAAATTTTATCTCGTGAAGAAAAAGAACAATTGATAGAAATTTCCTGTGACCGAACTCTAACTGAAGATTTAAAAAATAACACACTTGTTAACTTTTCGCTGAACCGAAAAACCGAATTTAAAGGCATTTCAAACAAAGCAATTAAATTTTTACTGCCGTTTTGCTCAACCTATTTGTGTGAACAAGGATTTTCTTCCATGTTACATTTGAAAAATAATTACAGAAACAAAATAAAAGTGAATTCTAATTTAGGGTTTAAACTAGTGAAATCTGATCAGACATAAGGAAACCGGTCTCTCTTAAACAGGCCCAAATTTTACACTAAATTTTAGAATTAAAGTATTATAAATATATAAAAATACCTAATGTATCTGCAGTGGCGCTCGAACTGAAAAGGTGGTGGGTGATGGTTCTTACACTCAGGATTTGGTGACTGAGTCCCCTAAAAACCCCACAGGAAAGGCGAAAAGGAGGAGTATATAAGGTGTTTCTCCCGCATTTTCAGCGTGCCTTCGTGGTGTAGTGGTCTGCATGCTGGGTGCGTATTCAAGATGTCCGTGGTTCGATTCCCAGCGAAGACGTTGCTCATATTTCAAGTCCCCTAGGTCCTTATTTTATTCTTTGCGTAAACATTGATAGCTTATAATGTCTAAAACACTCCTTTCTGAAGACTTTTGAAACATTTTAAAACCAAATGCCAACTAAAAATTCGTCAATCAAGCAAAAAAAAAAAAAAAAAAAAAAAATCTGAAATGTTTCAGATTTTAAATTACGTCCAAAGGGGCGTTTTTTTTTAACATTTTGTGTGTTACCTTTCTTTATTAAATATCATGTTCCTCGCACTTAAACCATAGGATCCAGTGCAACAGCAATATCGCAAAATAGTTTTAAAACGAGCATATCTTTAGAATTTCCGATACAGAGACTCACGCGCTGGAGATAAAAATGTTTTTTTTCTGCACAACGTTGCCATTGCTCGCTTTGAAATCCTTGAGTTTGTTAATCAAAAATTCGTCAAAGTTTTAAAAAATAGGAAATCGATCATAAAACAAATTTCAAATTTCAAATTTGGTCTTCCACACGCTCATATTCGTTGGAGGATTACGTTATTCAAAATTCGATGACTCTATGTACCGTTATTTTATGACAATGCGAGAAATATACATACATTTACGCAGATTTTCATTATTTAATTTCTTCAAATATAATGCAGGACTCTAACATTTTATGGCAACAGTTTGAAAAGTGAACCGACATTTATGAGTCCGACGCAAAATGCCAAAACGAAACTAATAGTCCTTCGGGATTCAAATCCCTTTGGACTAAAAAAAAAAGCCTAGAAATATGAATTTTTGAGAATTTTGGTCCAAATAAAATTTTATAATTGCCCTGTTACCCTTCCTTTTTGTTTATCATGTGCCTCACAAACCTGATCCAGTCACGAGTTCGCATATTGTAAACCTTATTCTTACGATTTCCATCATAATTCGGAACCGTCTAATACATTCCACAAGGGGTAGGGTTTCCCAGGTACCCTGGTGTTTGAACACCATTCCACTGGAACGATTACTCAAAATCTGACGTCATTTGCCTTAACCTTCTGTGTCTATATTGCTTCTTAGTATGAGGTTAAAATGTT